TGAGAAACATTTCAAAATGCTAAAAAAAAATCTGTAAGCTATCCTTGAAGAAAATCAGTAGAAGTATGAGAGTGATCAGAAATCAGTGCTTTAAAATGTAAATGAAAACTTTGGTGCTATTAAATATATAAAAACTGTGGACATAGCAATCTTGGCAATATGATATTTGAATACATCACAACTTCTAGAAAACCTGATCTAAATTTATAGCAAAGCATCTTGTTAATTAAGCCTAGTTATGAAACAATCAGAAATGACTGTTAGCATATCTGGCAATATCTGACAGGTGATAAAAAGACAGTTGATAAGAATGGCATGGACCTGGTAGTTAGAAATTAAGTTTGATCTTGTAACTGCTCCAACATTGCAAATATTTACGCTATCCTCTTTCCTTAAAGATATACATAACAAGCAAACATTAGAGGTCTGAGTCGATGGCCACTGAAACAAAAGCTTGGTACGTGATTTCAATGATAGCTGCATGTACTGTTTAGTCTTACCTAAAAGCAAAAGCATCTCCAGTTAGCATAAAGACTTTAAATGCCTCTTAGCTACGTTTGGTGCAACCTGAAGCACTAACGCATAAACAGGAAACGTAATGTTATATACTTCAAAATGTAGCAACATGATGAAAACACAATGGTGTCTGGAAAGCATTTGTTGTAAGAAGCCAATGCATTATTTATACAGGAAATAATTTGAAACAGGTGAACAGAAATAGTGACCTAACAACCAATATCAAAAGGTACAGAAATATCTTGGAAAAAAAGGAGAAATAGTAGCCTTACCAATGCTGTCAGCAAAATGAGATATTCTCTAAAATTCATTCAGATTTCCTTAGTACCAAAAAATTCTAGCTGGAGTCCCTAATGCTTTAAAACATTGTTATTTTGTTACATAGATAAGATGTTTCCCTTTTTTTACAATATATTTTTTTGCCCAGGCTAAAAGTTTTGGAAGAGTTAAAATACTTCACAGTCTCAGCACTTGAGAAAAGAGCTCTGTAGACCACATCTCCCTCAGTTCTCCTAAAATTGCTGAAAGAATTCATCCCTTTTGATCTGCTGGCAAAGTGCTCAGCCCTCCAGTCTAAGTCTATGGGAGGCATTCAGCATCACTTTGACTAAGTAACTGTAATTTTTTTCCATTAATATTCTGCACTTATTTAAGTTGCTAGAAATTTCTGGAAACGTTCTAATTCCCACTAACTTCAGGACATACTTAGCACTAAATCTAGGGAATAACAACCCACATAGTAATTTGTATATGTTATGCAGATACAAGTTGCTACTGATACAACTACATCACGTAGTTCTTATTTGATGCTTTTATATTCATTTTGACATCATGACAATTAATCCCATGAGCATTTTTTTTATAATCTGTCAGGGTCACAATTTTTACACTCAGTTTATGTTGTATTTTGCTCTCAGAAAAGTCAAATTGTCTAGGAGAGCACTTGTTTGTTTTCTGTTGCTTTAACGCACTTTTTTATTCAGCAGGTAGGTCTGATGTTGCTATGTGTTTGCTGAGCAGAAAGGTGTCTTTTCAGTAAGGGTGGTAAAAAATATTTAATGGAACATTGCTTTAGACTGCATCTAAAAGCATAGCCTGCTAAAGCTATGTAAAGATACCAGTAGATTATCTTTTTTCCCCACGTACATCCGTAGCACATCTGCTTAAATTTATTAAAGTGTGTTTGACTTATGTCAAAGTCAAGAAGTTCAACCTCAACCTTTAGTTCAGCCAACTGGTGTTAATGCACAGTAATGCATTCTTTAGTTACTTAAATCATATTTTTTCACAGCAATATGATCTCACTCTCTAAAGAGAATGAATACTTTTTGTTCAAGGAAGAGTTATTCAAGATTTTGATTTTGTGGCTTTTTTAAAGGGTTCAGTATGGAGCTTCAGGCTTCATTTATAGCATTCTGTTCAAATCCAACTCTGAATATAAAAAATAATTTTTCCTATATTTTTTTATGGTACTCACCTCTACAATACCAAATGATCCACAAACGTAAGAGTTTAATTTCACAAGATGCCATTAAATATATGGGAATTTCATAAAATATCAATATTTTCCACTAATGGTGGGTGCCTAAATTTAGGATCATATTTTTAAATTGTATGTTGTATAACATATGAAAGCTGAACATCATTTCAGATCAGACTTCAGAGTCTGAAACAATGAACCTCAAAATATACAACGAACATACTAATCCCAAATAATTTTTTACTTGAAGTTTCTATTTTATCTCAATGACAAAGATTCTGTACTCACAAGGAAAATGTATCTGAACTCAAGTTTGAAGATAACCCTTCCTGAAAGGCAGGTTAAAAGTCCTCTCTGCAAGCAGGTATCTGGTTTCCAGGCATTTTGTAGCCCAATGCTTTGGTCATCCAGCTGACATGCTAACTGTGAGCTGGCAGCCTGGGACTTGGTTTCCAAGCTCATGATTTTTTTAAAAAGACAGGCTCCCAGGATATGCTGCTAGTGTCCAATTTCCATATGAAACAGCTGGTATTTCCAAGACTTTCAGCTTGTTGCTCTACGGCAGCTGACTGAGAAGATAAGCTTGGACAACCATGGCGCACCAGTTTGTGGAAGCCTGAAATTTGGCTGATTCGGAGACAGAACGCCTACTTTTCCTAGATTCAGTTGTTTCCAAAGCACAGGGTTGCTAAAATTATTCAGAGAAAAGTACACCACCTGTCTTCTTTCAACAAAGGGAAAAACCCCACACGGTTTTAGTTTTGTTCTTATGGCTGAATCTTTTGGCTCAAGTGGGTAAATAATGATAATATTAACAATATTAATGGAGAGCACCAGCAGAAGTTTCAGTGGATGGCAGAGAGAGAACTCTGCCCATTGGGATGGGCAGTCTCCAGCTAAACAGAAAATTTGTAAGCAAGTGTAAATAGGATTCTTTTAAGTATTACATTTAAAGAAGCATCCCGGTTCTTTGCCCCATCTGGAGTTTATATGGTGCCATTTTATCAAACCTGCAATGTTCTGGGTGGGGACAAAAACTTGCCAACAGCAACTTTTAATTCACTTTCCACTTCTCAATTCATAAGATAAACACAGAGCTCTCAGTTTCATATAGTCTCTTTGTCCATTCTTGTATCGCTTGCCACCATGTCAAGGGTAAATTCTGAAAGCAATGTTTTTTTCCCTTGTCGTCTTCTGCTTAAAGAAGCTCTGCTGTTTGTGCTGAAATGATCTAGAATTCAGCCAAAACCTTCAGGATAAGCCTATTTCAGTCTGGCAGTGAATTCCCAGGCAAAAGAAGAAACAACTACAGACACCATCAAGAGAAAGTTATTTATAAATCCAGATACAAAATCTATGAAAATTAGTGAAGCAATCTTTTAACTGAGGCCATTTGTCCCAGCTACCATTAGTATAAATATCAAATGTGGTATTTCATGCATGTATCAAAATTTACACAAAAGAGAATAAGTAGCATCCCGAGCCAGATAATTTCTATGTTTTTCTCTGTAGGTGTTTGCAGATTTAATATTTCTACCTGGCCATTTAAAGCATAAGATTAGTGAGAGAATATGCATTTTAAGATATTTGAGGTAATATATTAAAAAAAAAAAAAAGTTTTGAGAATTATAGCAGCTAAAATGCCCTATTGGTCCATAGATACTTTTTCCTTTTCTTTTAACCTATTTTTATCTATTTGTATTTTGTCTGCTCAAAATAAATGTATAAAACAGTTCACCAACCCCACTTTGGATTAATAATGAAATGCTATGTCATCTAAAACTAGCAATATATTTTCTTACAGGTTGCAATAGGAGCTCGTATTTCATCTTCAGGGAATCATTTCAGAATTCCAAAATATAATCTCACACACACGCCTATGTATACATGCATACACATGCATTTATATACCTACACACATGCATGTACATATACACATTTATAGCTTTCTGTAGATACGGACATGAATAACTAGACCAATACATATAGTAGTTATTTTAAAAAAATGAATAAAAACTGTGCCAGTGTATCTTGTGACCTTCGTAGAAACGGCAATGGTTGGGAGGCATTCAGATGAGTTATCACTTAAGCAATTAAAAGAAGAATATATAATCTATGCTCAAAAGATCAATGCAGAATGTAGTTATGATGGGTTCCATTGTCTTTGAAGAACAGAGAGGGGTTCTATCAAGAACTAACACAGTCTAAAATAATCTCCATTTGTTTTAATTAAAAAATGAACTAAGAAAATGCATCATCATTGCATAATTTTCCAGTTTGGAGGCAGAGAAGAATGTGGCATCAATAGTGTCTGGGAACTGCCTAGGTCACTGCCCAGCACCACTTCTTTTACTGAATAGTATGTCTCTCAATTTAGGAAAGACAACTAAGTTTGTGTTCAGCTAGGCTCTTAGAAGTTAAGTTCAGCTAAGTGCTAGCCAGCAGATTCAAAAAAAGTCACTTTAAAAGTCACATTAAAGTAATGAAAGCTTGAAATATAAATGGGAAAAAAAAGATTTTCATTTCAGGACTGGAAAAGTTAAGGTGCAATATAAGGAAAGGGAATTAAATTAAATATGGAAGGCAAATGTGAGTTTTGAAATTTATTAGTAATCATATTATTTCTGCTGATTTTTCAAGAGACATTATCTATTTAAAACCAAAGCAAGGCTTAAAGTTATAAATATTTTAATTTTATATGAATTGTGAGTCTGTGTGATTGGAAGAATCCAAATAAATGACATGATAAAAATATTAGGTCACAGTAATTAAATTCAAAGACAGTTTTCTTTTAAAAGGTGCATCTTTAAGTTAAGCTACTTCTTTTTTAGATTAAAAAGAGTGTCTTATTTCTGATATATGACAATGAATTTTGATCTAGAAAGTAGAAACTAATTACGTTTAAAGTGTTCCACTAAGGCTGCTCATTAATATATTGAGAGCAGAAGTGACAGAAAAGAGCAAAAGAAAAACTAATACTTGCCTTTTTATATTTGTTTTACAGGAAATGTGTTTGTTGTAAGCCTGGCAGTTGCAGACTTGGTTGTAGCAATCTACCCATACCCACTGGTCCTCACATCTGTATTTCACAACGGATGGAATCTGGGATACCTTCACTGCCAGATTAGTGGCTTCTTGATGGGTCTAAGTGTCATTGGATCAATCTTCAATATTACAGGCATCGCTATCAATCGGTACTGCTATATCTGCCACAGTCTCAAATATGACAAGCTGTACAGCGACAAGAATTCATTGTGCTATGTTGTTCTTATCTGGGTCCTAACATTTGTTGCTATCGTGCCCAACCTGTTTGTGGGATCGCTACAATATGACCCCAGGATTTACTCATGTACATTTGCACAATCTGTGAGCTCAGCGTATACAATAGCAGTTGTGTTTTTCCATTTCCTGCTCCCCATAGCTATAGTAACTTTCTGTTACTTGAGAATATGGATCCTTGTTATTCAGGTGAGGCGAAGGGTTAAACCAGATAACAACCCCAGACTGAAACCACATGACTTCAGAAACTTTGTAACCATGTTTGTGGTATTTGTACTGTTTGCAGTCTGCTGGGCTCCTTTGAACTTTATAGGCCTTGCTGTGGCTGTCAACCCAGAAACTATAATCCCTAGGATTCCAGAGTGGTTGTTCATATCTAGTTATTACATGGCATATTTCAACAGCTGCCTTAATGCTATCATATATGGACTCCTGAATCAGAACTTCAGAAGAGAATACAAAAGAATTATTGTCGCTTTTTGTACAGCAAAAGTTTTTTTTCAGGATAGTTCTAATGATGCGGGAGACAGGATGAAAAGTAAACCTTCTCCATTGATTACAAACAACAATCAAGTGAAGGTGGACTCTGTCTGAAAATGGGAATCTTATTGTCACTCAACAGCATCCAAATAAACTATCTGTTTTATTAGACCTACTCTTAAATATTATAGTGAAATCTCTTCTACACTGAAAGCACTTTGATCAAATTCCTTGCATGGTATTTGGGAACTCAAGTTACAGAGCCTTGACGTACAGATCCTATTATACAACGGTATATCTCTCGTATAACAACACAATGATATCCTTGAGAGAAATGCAAAATTATGCATGGATACTTTTTATTTTTCCCTTAAATGGAGATAAACAACTAAAACCAGATTGAAACAGAAGTATCCACATTGCCTGGCTCAATAAAAGAAATCACAAAACTATTCCTACTGCTTTCTGCCTGCTGCTTCTGGCCAGGTTATGGTTCTAAAACCTCTGAGAACTTCCTTTAAAAGATGAAATCAGACCATTATGAAATATATTAGGAAAAGTGAAGTGAGAAATAAAGGTAATTGAAAATTCATTAGGATTTTTGATAAGTACCTCTACCGATATTGTTTTGCTCCTAACATGGACGTGATTATTCATTTTTTGGAGATTAAACCTCACCAGCCCTCCTAGGAATGGCATTCTCAATTGACTTCTCAATTTTAAAATAGCTTTTAGGAGGAGAAATATACCTGACTGATTATCTTTGAAGCTACAAGTGCAGGAGGATAAACAGCAAGGAAAGAAAAGAGCCATGATTCATCAGCTCAAGCCGTTTGGGCATGAAAAAAGGTGTAGGAGAGGTGGGAAGAGAAATACAAACACCGTTCTTTCTGAAGAGGCAGTAATTCACGAAATCAGAAAGTGCCCCAGAGGAGTTTCTAGGGAAACACCTCCTAGAAACATAAGTGAGGAAGGACCATTATTTCTCACTTGTGTACAGTACAGAAGTTCTAAACCTCCATGACAAGACGATTACAGCATTTAAGAGGGACGGTGGGTGAGGATGACAGTTTTGTCTAGTTAGTGGAATCTTAACCTCATGAAACCCTGGGAAATGAGAAATATTTACTGGATGAGTATTTAACATCTTTTTCAGCTTGATCTCTTGAGAATAGCCTGAGACTATAGGTTATTTTGTAATCTGCCACAGATAAGATTTTCAAAATAATAATTAGGTGTTTACCACAATGATGAACACAATGTAATAACCTATAACAATTCGACACCTTTAAATAATAGAAAAGAGAAGATGCTACTTATGACCCTGGTACAAGGAGGAACGCGTGACTCTCAGGACAGGACCTGCTATGTGGACTTTCCACTGTCAGCAGGCACTTCTTCAGTGAGGGGAAGCACACTGTAAAGTGTGGAAGAATAGCTAGACAGGCTGTCTGCTGCAACAGTGAATCTCTGTTTATTATAAAGTCTTCTGGTGGAGAAAAGCAATTCACAACAATAGGATTCACCTTCAAATTGAGCTTAAAAAGAAGGAGCATTAGGGTCTGGAAAGATGGTCCAACTGTCATACCTTTTAATGCTCCTTTTAATGTTCATACCTACACTGATGTCACTATGTTACATAATTCCTTAAACTGCATACAAATCTAACAGCATTTTGTCTTTCTTGGATCGTAGATTAGTGTACCCTTGACTTAATAATGAACTAAAAGGGAACAGATTCACATTTACTTGAAAACCCCACTGGCACTTCATCAACTGACCAGATTTTTACCTTAAAAATAGGTGCCTCATGTCAAGCTGACAATAGAACTAATGAACAACATTGTAAAACCCTGGAGATGAACTGGCAAGTCAATGCGTTGCCGAGGTGCTTGACTCATCTTTGTTTACATTTGCCAGTCAGAACCACTGTGTAAATAACCAGCTCTCTTCTATTGTGGTATCATCATATGATGCGATATGATACAACATGGTTACAACAGCATAAAGTGTATCACAGCTTTCTTCACTGTGATTTCATCCTTGGAGGATGCTTAGCTCTGTAATTTTATTGCTTTGTGTGTAGTGATTTCAGAATAGCAAGAGGGGCATGACCACCTCACAAGAAAAGAAGTTTTTCATGTAAGAAAAAACACTATTTAAATTCTTACAAAACTTGCCTTATTTTCAATGAAAATAATGTCTTATGATGCATCTAATAAAGTAGCATAAAGATAGTTTAAGTAGCTTAAATTTAGAAATCTCAAAGATCTTTTACTTGCCATTTCCAACAGAAAAGGTACATATTTATCATGTCTACATATTTATAAGCCAGTTCCAGATACTGTATCCAATATTGTGGGTTATCTGAGGAATTAAAGTCCCCTGTAATTCACAAGTGCTAAAATACATTTTTGATGATAAAGAAAATGGTTTGCTATATGCAATAGAACATATTATACCAAAGGTATATATTTTATTGAATAGGCCTGTAATAAAAATGGAGAGCATTTTTCAGATCTGATATTTTGAAATATTTGTATTAAACCTAAACCACAGAAACATGCATGTTGGTGATGTTATGAGCTGCTAAATATAGCAATAATTTTAAGAAATTAATCTCTTGTTCTTCTTTGGGGGGAGGGAAGAGTGTTAGTCTTTAGAATTTAGTTTAAATTAACATGGATGAAAAATTTGGGAAATATCTGCTGCTCTCTTCAAATTAATTTTGCATTTACTGCCATTCTGAAGTACATTTTAGGTAAGGTTTGCAAAACAACTCATTGCAAAAGTGAAAGCGTAGTGATATTTAACTGCAGTAATGATTTCTTTTAATCAGATTCTACTGCTTCAAAGGAGTCAAAGTGATTCATGTAAGACAATCAGTAGCCTCATCAACTGCTTATTGACAATGAGCATGGCAATGTAAGTCAGCACCTCACAACATCAGACTCTTTATGGTCAATGTAAAAATGACTGATGAAAATAATTGTGATTTCCATCCATTCTAAGGAGATGGACTTAGAAACTTATCCAAAATTAGTTGCTCCTGTGCAAACGGATGAGCCATGACATGTTTTTTACATTCCAAGTCATTACATTTTCCCCTGTAAGAAAGGCTAGCATAGCACAACTGCATTATTTAGAGCTCTATCTGGAAGTTTTAGATAGTGTACTTGTCCTACAGCAGTCATCAGCCCTGGATGGATTTAATTCTAAAACATGAGTCTTGGCAGTCTACCGCACCACACCTGCAGGGACCCTTCCCTTTCCTACTTCCTATCCATTTTTGGTCTGAGCCCCACTGAAGCCAAAGGACCTCTGTGAAGGAGCAGTGAACCCCCTGTATACAACACACTGAAGACTTACAGCCTAATTGACCCTGACCTTATCCTACAAGAATTTATTTCTTCTGTCACAATCTTCATTATGTTGACAATCTGAATATGATCTTATATCACCACATCCTGAACCCTTACAGATAGAAAGTTTTATTGGTGGTAATCTTCATTGCAAACTTCACGTTAACAAGGAAGTTTGGCATTATTTCATATTTACCAGCAAAGAGAATATTAATGAATATATTAATATCAATTAACAGGGTATTTATTGTAGTTAAACTATAACTGTATGCAACAATGTAATTTCATTTGGAATAGCTCACTTAAGAGTGCTTTGCACATTTTCTTCTTCCACTGGGCTAGTGGAAGTGCATAGATATGAAGCAAATATATGTTATTTCAATAGGCATAATATATAGCAATGATTTTGTTATTTTTCTTTTTCTTCTTATGTGTTTTAGAAGGTAAGTCTTTGAATCATCCATAATAAACATACTATTGTAATCAATCTGTATTGCAGTCAATAGCACATCCTCATATAATCAGTTAATATCTCACCTTGTCCTTCTTTTGGTCCACTTTTGAAATGGTATCATGTTAAATGTGATTAATTATGACATACTGAAGGGGACTGTTCTTTCCCTTAAACTGCACTGCGAAAACAATCATAAAAAAGCTCCTTAAAATATAATGCACAAATACCTAAGTATCTGTGGTCACCAAATTTAAAATAGAATCTCAGAAACTCTTCTATTTGAACATCTTATTCACAAACTGTAGTAATACAGATGGACTGTTATTCTTTAATTCTTTTTTAATAACTGCACTTTCTAAGCATCATTAATACGGTTTACAAATAAATTAAGAACTACAAATGTCTGTTATCTTGTCACTGAGGCTTGGGAAATCACATGTGCTAAAGCCAAATTTCTTGGAAGAAAAAATATTCAAGTAGTGGCCTGGCTTATAGCCCATGTACTGTATCTCAAATTTTGCCTGTGTTAAGTAAGAATTCCATTATGTGGTTTTATGAATTTACTCATTAAAAATAGTATTCCTACCTCAAATATGTGTCTGAGAGATTGCAATAAAGAATAGGGTGGAAAAAACTCAGAGTACAAGTCAATAGCCTTTAGAATTTTAAATAGAAACAAAAGTAAATCCAGCAAAGAAGTACATATATTAATAATGGTCACAGAAAATATTTTCCCAGTTCAATAAAAGACTCATCACTCAAACCATCCCTATTATCAAACACTGACCAAAGTATGCATATTTTGAGAAGCTTGTCATTCACAAATGTATATACCAATTATTCCAAAAGTTATAACCAAACAATATTTGAGATACAATGTCTCATTTTCAGCTCACATAAACCAGCACAGCTTCACTGATTCATGTCAGCTGAGGATTTTGGCATATTAGATTTCATAAATCTAAAAATTAGCTACTTTATTACACAAGCAATATATGTTTCATTTCTAAGGAACTCATCAACTGTCATCTGTCCAGGTTGTGGGAGAATGTGAATTTGCCTGCTAAATATCTGCAAAATTAACCTCATCCAGTAGAACTCTCTCTGTGATTTGTCATTTTTATAAGTAAATATATTTTCAGCAGTCTTTTATTTGGCTTCATTCTTAACTGTATAAATAGTATGTATTTAGCAGAAAATTGTACCAACACAAGAGATTTGGGCAATCCAGAGACAGGAAGTCTACTTACAGTTATTCTTTCTGCTTATATTGCATGTGTGCACAAGGGTTTCATTTAATCGCAACAGGAATTTTATTTTGCAAGTGTCTTTCCAGATTCTAAAAGTGCTTATACTCAAATACATACTCTTCACTCTTCTTCAATATGTACAAATATTCAGTTTTTCATAACGTATATAAAAGTCAGGGCAATACCATGAGATTATCAGTTGTATGGTTCAGACCAAAATATTTTTCCACACAACTTAAGCTGTGGAATTTTTTGCCACAGAGCACTGCCTATACAAACCCTAAACAGGTACACGAAAAACAGTTGCACTGACTCACAGCAAGAAGATTCCCTAGGGCAGCAAGCACAAAAATACAACTTCAGTATCAGGAAATCCCTAAGCCAAGGATTATTG